AAGTTTGAATGGAGTATTCCCTCACAAAGAGAATATTCCAACGGCCACTAAACCAAGTTGATCAAAATAGTCAGCAGAGAAATGCAAATTTAGACCATCATGAGATACTACTACACACTCATCCGACTGGCTAAAATGTAAAAAAAAAAAAATGAAAACCAAACAAACAAAAAAACCAACAAGGATTAGAATACTAAATATTGGCAAGGGCAAAGGTATGGAGCTACTGGAACTCTTTTTTTTTTTTTTTTTTTTTTTTTTTATTTCAGCATATTATGGGGGTACAGATTTTAAGGTTTCAATAAATGCCCATTTCCCCCCCCCACTGGAACTCTTATACTTAGTTGACAGGAGTGCAATTTGGCATGAGCCCTTTGGAAAATTGACTGTATCTACTAAATCTGAGCATGTGTACTCCCTAAGGCCCAGCAAATTCTTCACGTAAGCATGGAGCCGAGGAACGTCGGGGCATAAGTTGACACTCCACGCCATCAAAAGACACACAGGAATGTTCAGAACAATATGATTTGTGAGAGTCAAAAACTGGTGACAGCCCAAAGGCCATACGCTACAAGAAGCACCGTCGATGTAAGTTGACCACAACCGCCTAACTACAGCACAACGGAAGTGCACCTGCTGTGCCCAAGGCCACGCGTGACATCCACACACGCAACGAGAGGAAGAAGCTAGATGCCAAAGAGTGGCCTGCGTCTGGCTCCATCCATGCAAAGCAGTTAAAACCGGGCAGAACAAACCAAGCTACGAATTGGGCACTTACGAATTGGGCCACTGTTGCCATGTGCTTAAAAATGTGAAAAGTTTATTTTTAAGGATTAAAGTGACTTGCATTGACACTTAAATCAATTTGCTATAAGGTGGACTATTTATTGTATTACTCGGTGCTATGGGCAGAGGAATGATCCAGAAACCAAGAACAGCCTGAAATCATCCTTCCATCCCAATTAACCTAATGGGACCCTGAATCCCAGTTACTTGTTACACAATATAATTGTGTTATCAGGGGTTTTTGTTTCTCAGTATATCCTGAGCCCCATTAATGAGATATATAGTATACATGAACTAAATACATACCTATACACATATATAATGTATATATAATATAACTATATAAATAACATTATAAGTAATCATTCATCTTTTCTTTTGAGACAGAATCTCATTCATTGTTGCTCCAGGCTACAGTGGATGCCGTGGCGTCAGCCTAGCTCACAGCAACCTCAAACTCCTGGGCTCAAGCGATCCTCCTGCCTCAGCCTCCCCAGTAGCTGGGACTATAAGCATGCGCTACCATGCCCGGTTAATTTTTTCCATTTTTAGTTGTTTGGCTAATTTTTTTTTCTGTTTTTTAGTACAGATGGGATCTTGCTCTTGCTCAGGCTGGTTTCCAACTCCTGAGCTCAAGCGATCGTCCCGCCTTGGCCTCCTGAAGTGATAGGATTACAGGCGTGAGCCACTGCCCCCCTGGCTTTTTTCTATTTTCAGTAGACACAGTGTCTTGCTCTTGCTCAGGCTGGTTTCGAACTCCTAACCTGGAGCGATCCTCCCGCCTCGGCCTCCCAGAGTGCTAGGATTACAGGCTTGAGCCACCGCGCCCGGCCAATGAGAGATATTTAAAGGAATAAAATGTCACCAAATTAAACAACAGGATTCACTGGTACTTATTGATTCTCACAGATATACAAATACCGTATTTGCAAGAAAGTGATTCAAATTAAACTTTGTGCAAGTTCTATCTGGAAAAAATAAAATAAAAGTGAAGAAAACACTTTTAGCAGCTCTTTTCTGTAGCTTCTCTTGGGGGTAGCATTTCCAAGCCACTCTTGTAACCAGAGAGCAAGAGGCAAAACATTCAAATAAAAATAACTTCTCAACCTCAGCATTGACCTAAAATAAAAAAAATAAATAAATAAATAAATAAATAAAATAACTGTAACTTATAATAGATTAATGTTCCTACTAATGTATAATGAAATCAGAAGTAAAACTGAAAGATTTCTCCCCAAAGTTTAAATTGCGCTTATGAGATGTGTATATTTAAACATCTCACAGGAGGGGAATTTAAACTTTGGGGACAAATGTTTCTAGATACACACTTCAAAAGAGCTGAGAATTTAGAAAGCCTATAGGAAACTTGGCGTAAATTCTTTACTGGGTTTGGCATTGTACTTCCGCACGCCTGCATACTATACCGTAGCTAAAACCAGCCGTGGCCGGTAAGCAGCTGCCCATCAGCCCAACAGGATATCTGAGACGGGTCAGGAGACCTAAGGAGAAAGAAAAACCAGTATTTCAAGCCTGATTGCTAATATAGAAGAAAAAACTAAACAGACTAGAAGATAATACCATTCTTTAAATACTTAGGCAAAAAAAAATTGTTCTACAAGTTAGTCTGATTATTTTTCCCATTTGAAAACTACTTTTCATAAAATAATATGTGCTTCTTGTACACGATTTAAAGAAGCTAAAAACAGGAGGGGGGAAGGGCATTTATTGAAACCTTAAAATTTGTACCCCCATAATATGTCAAAATAAAAAAAAAATATTCATTAATAAAAGAAGCTAAAAAGAAAAAGCATAAAGATAACCAAAAAAAAAAATGCCTTACAAAATCTTAGTATGCAGAAATACCTAGTTAGCATTTTGCTGAACATCTTTGCAAAAATCTCTATATCCATAGTCAAAGGGTATACATATCCAACATGTTTTATAGAAATGCAAATGTTTTGTTATAAGGTTTATGTGCTGAGCATGTAATTGATATATGTCAATGACCATAAACAGAACCTTAAAGTTATTTCCAAGATTTCTCTATTGTATGTACCCATCAAATGATCACCTTATAAACTGTGATTTCCAAGGCAAAGGGTGTCCAGAAAGGCTGTACTAATTCATTCAACCACCAACAGTGTTTGTTTGCACCCATTTTCCCAAGCATGATGGTGGGAACCGGAGCAAAATGCAGGGGGTGGCCAGGCGCGGTGGCTCATGCCTGTTAATCTAGCACTCTGGGAGGCCAAGGCAGGAGGATAGTTTGAGGTCAGGAGTTCAAAACCAGCCTGAGCAAGAGCGAGACCCCGTCTCTACTAGAAATAGAAAGAAATTAATTGGCCAACTAATATATATATAGAAAAAATTATCTGGGCATGGTGGTATATGCCTGTGGTCCCAGCTACTCAGGGGAGGCTGAGGCAGGAGGATGGCTTGAGCCCAGGAGTTTGAGGTTGCTGTGAGGTAGGCTGACGCCATGGCACTCACTCTAGCCTGGGCAACAAAGTGAGACTCTGTCTCAAAAAAAATGCAGGGGTAGGGAGAGACAAGACATTATACTCATGAGGTAGGCAGTATTCTGGTTATGATGAGCTTTATAAGCCACACACAGGTGCATTCCATTGTCCTGCAGGTGAGAGGAGCCATTGAAAGGCTCCAAATGGGAGGGCACAGTCGGATTGACAGTGCTGAAAGATCATTCTGGCACCAGCTTAGAAATGGATTGAGGGTAGATCCAACCTTGGAGACAATGAGACCAGTTAGGAAGCCATTGCAACTGACAAAGTGAGCAATGATTAGGGCAGCACTCCGAGGCGAGAAGAGGCAGGGATCTATCTATAAGAGATACATTTAGGAAATGAAATTAATTGCACTTGACAATTAATCAGAAGCTAGGTGTCAACAAGGAACAGAAACATCTATTTAACTCCCATGGATCTAGCCCCTGTAATTGGCGGGATGATGGTGTCTTTGCCAGAGAGAGAAACAGAAAGAGGAGACTGGAGGGAGACTGATGGTACAAGATGGAGCATTCTACTTCGCCATTGAAGTTCAGGAGCTTTGGGATGGCAAGTGCCTGTGTCTACCAGGCAGAAGAGTTATGCAAAGGGAAAGGCCCAGGGTGAGAAGGAAAGTGATCAGGAATGGGTCCTTGCAGAATATCAATGTTCAAGGAGAGAGAAGCAAGACCCATTGCAAAGACCCACTTGGTATAATCTGAGATAGAGAAGACCAAGAAAGGATGGCGGCGTCAAACCATCTAGAGAGCAGGGCGGGACGTTCAGGGAGCGACACTGCCAGATGTAGCAGAGAGGAGCTGAACACACGAGGACTAGAAAACATCCCATCCGTAGCCACGTGGGTCTCCAGTAAAAACACCGAGTGGTGGAGGCAGACGCCAGGTCTCAGATGTTTAGAAAGCCAATCGAAAGTGAGGAAGCAGAGGTGGCAGGTGTGGACATGTTTTTCCCAAAGTGTGACTTGCAAGAGCCATGCCTAAAGGGAAAAGGGATCAAGGCGGGGTTTTGCCTTTGTTTCTGGGATAAGAACATCCAGAAGTTTCTCCCGGCTGTTAGCCAGTCCCCAGACAGGCAAGTTGCCCTGAATCCTCTCCTAACCCCATTTGGATGCTTCCTGTCGTTTCCCTGGTCAACCCTACAGTTCTCTCCTAGATGATCTGTTCAAAATGTGAGAATCTGCCTACTATTCTGGTTCCTCTCTGGGGAGGAGGAACCTGGGTCCAGTTGGAAATCTTGATCCTGTCTCTACTCTTTTTTTTTTTTGAGACAGAATCTCACTCTGTAGCCCGGGCTAGTGATCCTCCTGCCTCAGCCTCCCAAGTAGCTGGGACTACAGGCATGTGCCACTATGCCCGGCTGATTTTTTCTATATATTTTTATTTTCTATATATTTTCTCTATATATTTCTATATATTTTCTATACATATTTCTATATATTTCTATATATTTTCTATATATTTTTAGTTGGCCAATTAACTTCTTTCTATTTTTAGTAGAGACGGGGTCTCGCTCTTGCTCAGGCTGGTCTCGAACTCCTGACCCTGAGCGATCCTCCCACCTCGGACTCCCAGAGTGCTAGGATTGCAGGCGTGAGCCTACGTGCCTGGCCTCTATTCTTAATACACTGCTCTACACTTCTTATTTTTCAAACCTAGCTTATCACTAACATCTTTTCATGTCTACACATGCTAATGTAGCTCGTTTTTTTTTTTTTAACCTCATCACCGTAATCACTCTTTCTTAAATTTTTTCTTTGAGGGATGGGAAAGAAGAAGGAGAAGGAGAAAACTCAGCACTGGTGTCCTGATCCTCTCTCCAGCAACGGCCATGGTCTCCCTCGCCCCATCCAGACATTCGCCCCTCCCCCGTAACCAAACTGCCAGTGACCATCTAGAATATTCACACAGACTCATCCCATAAGTGGATAAAAATTTCCCTGGATACATTCCTGATAGTTATGAATAGAACTAGTATAATGGAAAAGTGACCTCTTTCCAAGAGGGATTTTTCCAAAAGGATTTTTCTTTTTGTCAACATGACTTCATGAGAGAAATCTAAAAAAAAAAAAAGGGCACTGCATGACAAGAAGTCAAAATAATATGCAAGGTTACAGCAGGTTCCAAACTCTGTAATGCTGAGATAAGATTCCCCCATGGGCTCGAAGTGGTCCAGCACAGGTTCGGTGAAGGCTGAAGGCCAGAGATATGATTGTAATTGTGTTGGAACTTTCTGGAATCCTATAGCTTTCTTGAAATGACAGGTTTGCACAAATAGCGATTACTACAAACAATGGCCAGGGGAGTGGGTTAAATACGCCTCTGATATATTTAGGCCAAAACATAACTGTGAAAAGCTGTTTTCTTTGTCACTTTTTCTGTCCTCCAAACAAGAAAGAACAGAGAAATGAAAGATTTAAGGGTCATTTTCTATTATAATTTATCTAAAGTAGGGAGCAGATAGATTTGTAGAGGCAAAGAAAAGGAAGCATCATTATATTTTTTCTATATATTTTCAGTTGGCCGATTAGTTTATTTCTATTTTTGGTAGAGACGGGGTCTAACTCTTGCTCAGGCTGGTCTCGAACTCCTGACCTTTGAGCGATCCTCCCGCCTCGGCCTCCCAGAGTGCTAGGATTCCAGGCCTGAGCCACCGCGCCCGGCCTGGAAGCATCATTATTTAGAGTGTTTGAAATTCTATTACATTTACCCCTATATAAATTCCCTGAACAAATGCATGATGATTAAGTGGCCATTTGCTTCACTGTCACTTCTTGTTTTTTTTAACCAAACAAAGAAGCATAGATGTGGAAGAGAATTTTTCAAGACAGGTTGTATTTCAAGCTCTTCTTTTTTTGAGACAGAGTCTCCCTTTGTTGCCCAGACTAGAGTGAGTGCCATGGCGTCAGCCTAGCTCACAGCAACCTCAGACTCCTGGGCTCAAGCGATCCTCCTGCCTCAGCCTCCAAAAATGACCTTAAATCTTCATTTCTCTGTTCTTTCTTGTTGGAGGACAGAAAAGCTGACAAAGAAAACAGCTTTTCACAGTTATGTTTTGGCCTAAATATATCAGAGGCGTATTTAACCCACTCCCCTGGCCATTGTTTGTAGTAATCGCTATTTGTCAAACCGTCATTTCAAGAAAGCTATAGGATTCCAGAAAGTTCCAACACAATTAACAATCATATCTCTGCCTTCAGCCTTCACCCAACCTGTGCTGGACCACTTCGAGCCCATGGGGAATCTTATCTCAGCATTACAGAGTTGGAACCTGCTGTAACCTTGCATATTATTTTGACTTCTTGTCATGCAGTGCCCCCTTTTTTTTTTTTAGATTTCTCTCATGAAGTCAGGTTGACAAAAAGAAAAATCCTTTTGGAAAAATCCCTTTTGGAAAGAGGTCACTTTTCAATTATACTAGTTCCATTCATAAATATCAGGAATGTATCCAGGGAAATTTTTATCCACTTATGGGATGAGTCTGGTTGAATATTCTAGATGGTCACTGGCAGTTTGGTTACGGGGGAGGGCGAATGTCTGGATGGGGCGAGGGAGACCATGGCCGTTGCTGGAGAGAGGATCAGGAATCAGTGCTGAGTTTTCTCCTTCTCCTTCTTCTTTCCCATCCCTCAAAGAAAAAATTTAAGAAAGAGTGATTACGTGATGAGGTTAAAAAAAAAAAAAACGAGCTACATTAGCATGTGTAGACATGAAAAGATGTTAGTGATAAGCTAGGTTTGAAAAATAAGTGTAGAGCAGTATATTAAGAATAGAGGCAGGCATGTAGGCTCACGCCTGCAATCCTAGCACTCTGGAGTCCGAAGTGGGAGGATCGCTCAAGTCAGGAGTTCGAGACCAGCCTGAGCAAGAGCGAGACCCCGTCTCTTACTAAAAATAGAAAGAAGTTAATTGGCTAACTAAAATATATAGAAAATATATAGAAATATATAGAAATATGTATAAGAAATATATAGAAATATAATAGAAAATATAAGAATAAAATATATAGAAACAATCAGCCGGGCATAGTGCACATGCCTGTAGTCCCAGCTACTTGGGAGGCTGAGGCAGGAGGACCACTAGCCCGGGCTACAGAGTGAGATTCTGTCTCAAAAAAAAAAGAGTAGAGACAGGATCAAGATTTCCAACTGGACCCAGGTTCCCCTCCTCCCAGAGAGGAACCAGAATAGTAGGCAGATTCTCACATTTTGAACAGACCATCTAGGAGAGAACTGTAGGGTTGACCAGGGAAACGACAGGAAGCAGCAAATGGGGTTAGGAGAGGATTCAGGGCAACTTGCCTATCTGGGACTGGTAACAGCCGGAGAAACTTCTGGATGTTCTTATCCCAGAAACAAAGGCAAAACCCCGCCTTGATCCCTTTTCCCTTTAGGCATGGCTCTTGTAAGTCACACTTTGGAAAAACATGTCCACACCTGCCACCTCTGCTTCCTCACTTTCGATTTGCTTTTCTAAACATCTGAGACCTGGCGTCTGCCTCCACCACTCCGTGTTTATACTGCAGACCCCCACGTGGCTACGTAGGGATGGGATGTTTTCTAGTCCTCGTGTGTTCAGCTCCTCTCTGCTACATCTGGCAGTGTCGCTCCCTGAATGTCCCGCCCTGCTCTCTAGATGGTTTGACGACCCGCCGTCCTTTCTGGTCTTCTCTATCTCGAGATTATACCAAGTGGGTCTTTGCAATGGGTCTTGCTTCTCCTCTCCTTGAACATTGATATTCTGCAAGGACCCACTCCTGATCACTTTCCTTTCCACCCTGGGCCTTATTCCCTTTGTTAACTCTTCTGCTGGTAACACAGGCACTTGCCATCCTCAAGCTCCTGGAACTTCAATGACGAAGTAGAATGCTCCATCTTGTACCATCAGTCCTCCCTCACGTCTCCTCTTTCTGTTCTCTCCTCCTGGCAAAACACCATCATCCAGCCAATTACAGGGGCTAGATCCATGGGAGTTAAATAGATGTTTCTGTTCCTTGTTGACACCTAGCTTCTGATTAATTGTCAAGTGCAATTAATTTCATTTCCTAAATGTATCTCTTATAGATAGATCCCTGCTCTTCTCGCCTCGGAGTGCTGCCCTAATCATTGCTCACTTTGTCAGTTGCAATGGCTTCCTAACTGGTCTCATTGTCTCCAAGGTTGGATCTCCCCTCAATCCATTTCTAAGCTGGTGCCAGAATGATCTTTCACACTGTCCAATCCGACTGTGCCCTCCCATTTGGAGCCTTTGAATGGCTCCTCTCCACCTGCAGGACAATGGAATGCACCCTGTGTGTGGCTTATAAAGCTCATCATAACCAGAATACTGCCTACCTCATGAGTATAATGTCTGTCTCTCCCTACCCCCCTGCATTTTTTTTGAGACAGATCTCACTTTGTTGCCCAGGCTAGAGTGAGTGCCATGGCGTCAGCCTACCTCACAGCAACCTCAAACTCCTGGGCTCAAGCCATCCTCCTGCCTCAGCCTCCCCGAGTAGCTGGGACTACAGGCATGTGCCACCATGCCAGATAATTTTTTCATATATTATATATTAGTTGGCCAATTAATTTCTTCTATTCTAGTAGAGACGGGGTCTCGCTCTTGCTCAGGCTGGTTTTGAACTCCTGACCTCAAACATCCTCCCGCCTTGGCCTCCCAGAGTGCAGATTAACAGGCATGAGCCACCGCGCCTGGCCACCCCCCCTGATTTGTCCGTTCCCCACCATCATGCTTGGGAAAAATGGGTGCAAATAAACACTGTTGGTGGTGAGGAATTAATACAGCCTTTCTGGACACCCTTTGACTTGGAATCACAGTTTATAAGCGTGATCATTTGATGGGTACATACATAGAGAATCTTGGAAACAACTTTAAGGTCTGTTTATAGTCATTGACATATATCAATTACATGCTCAGCACATAAACCTTATAACAAAACATTTGCATTTCTATAAAACATGTTGGATATGTATACCTCCGACTATGAGATATAGAGATTTTTGCAAAGATGTTCAGCAAAATGCTAACTGGTGTATTTCTGCATACTAAGATTTTTGTAAAGGCATTTTTTTTTTGGTCATCTTATGCTTTTTTTTTAGCTTCTTTTTTTTTTGATGAAATACTTTTTTTTTTTTTTCGACATATTATGGGGGTACAAAATTTAAGGTTTCAATAAATCTCTCCCTTCCCCCCTTTTTAGCTTCTTAAATTGTGTACAAGGAGCACATATTATTTTATATGAAAAGTAGTTTTCAAATGGGGTTGGGAA